TATTAGCACCCTGTTGGTGGACACTTAAGTAATTACCAGGGTTTTTTCTCTTCTGTTTCTGTGGCCTTGCTGTCTTTCTTCTGCCTTGCATTTCTATTAACACATTGGTTTCGTTTCCTGTCCTTAATGATTCTGAGAAATTGGATTCAACGCCACTTTCATGGAGACCATCACCCTTGTATGTACTTCCTGATAGATCAGACAAGCATAGTATGTTAAATGTACTCAACAAGACCTTATCTTTTCACCCCACAAACTCTTTGTGATTAGCTTGTGATATTGATCATGAACCACCTGATAAGCCTTTCAACCCCAGCATCCAGTTCTTTAAGTTGCAGGGACCTTGAGGAGCACGGACTCAGTTTGGCAGACATCATATCGGTCATCTGGGCCTCTGTCACTTCAGGTTGCCCACACGGCTGACACTGATCAGTGCTCTCGCAGCCGGGACAGAGCACAGGAGTGTCCTTTTGTTTTCAGACCACAGTGGCCTCCTTTTCCTTTGAATGCCCTTGCTCTTCCTATGTGATTTTATTCCCACTATAATGTAGAGACATTTGAAGATCAGTTGAAGCACATTAACTTCAAATATATCATAATTAGCTCACTCCCTTTTGGTGTGGCTGTATGAAGTATATCTGGTTTCATTTCTGGAAACCTTAACTGTCAGAAGGTTGCTTTCTCACACTTGGTCATAAAAAATAGGAAGCTCCTTCCCAACTTAAGTCTTTAGAGACTTCGAGGTGACCTTGACCACTGTTGTTGCTTCAGCTGCATCTTCTGCTGTCTGTTATTTCTGCCTTTCTTCATGTTGACATTACCATGCTCTGCCTCTGAGGTTTGGTTTCCCTTTCTGTTGTTCCTCTGTCTTCGCTCTAATCCCCCCATTCTTCCTCTCTGTGTGTGTGTTTTCTGTAGAGCTTGCTTGTTTCTTTGACTATTTCAGTGTATGCCCCAGCAACATAATTTACCGTTCTCTTTTGTTATTTCCTCAGGTGGTTAGTTGATTATTCGCTCCTTATTCTGGCAATAAATAAAATTACATTTAAAAATGTTTCCAAGAAATATCCTGTTTCCTTTTAAATTTTCAAAATATTGAAATGTTAAAGGTCATTTTTAAATTGTGTTTTTTTCCCACTGTTTACAAAATTTCCAAGGCTCAACCTCTAAATTATTTTTCTCTTTGATCACTTTATTACTGCTTAAAAAATTCAACAAATATTTAGTAAATCTCTGTCACGTACTGGATACTGTAGGTTCTGAAGACACAGACCAACTCCCTGTCCTCTAGGAATTCTAGGGAAAGCAGGCGATATATGTGATACTTTCTTTATTCATTCATTCATTCATTCATTCATTCATTGGAGATGTAGTCTCACTGTGTTGCCCAGGTTGGAGTACAGTAGCATGATCTCAGTTCACTGCAACCTCCACTTTCCGGGTTCAAGCAATTCCCCTGCCTCAGCCTCCCAAGTAGCTGGGATTACAGGCGCCTGCCACCACACCCGGCTAATTTTTGTATTTTTAGTAGAAACAGGGTTTCATCATGTTGACCAGGCTGGTCTCAAACTTCTGACCTCAAGTGATCTGCCTGCCTTAGCCTCCCAAAGTGCTGGGATTACAGGCATGAGCCACCGCATCTGGCCATAGATGGAACATATGATCTAGAGAAAATGAAACAGGAAGAGGGAGCAGGGAGTTCACAATGGGATATAGTTTTAAATAAGGTCGTCAGAGAAGATGCTCGTTGAGAAGAAGCCATTTGTACAAAACCTTGAAGGAAATGATGCAACAAGTACTGGGGATTTATTGTCTTGGGCATAAAAGGGAAAAATGTCTTGGGCAGGTGGGAGTAGCCAGTGCTCCTCCCAGCCAGGAGCCACTTCTCAGGAGGTGCATGCCCAGAAGAGCAAAGAGGCCACCATGGCTGGAGTGGAGCAAGTGGAGGAAATAGGTCAGAGAGACTGCCAGGGACCTTTTAAAGCATGAGGCCTTTTAAGCCATTGCAGGGATTTTGGCTTTACTCTGAGATGAAGAGCCACTGGACAGATTTGAGATGAGGGAGTCATAGATCTTGGGCTATGATGTGTTATTGTCACATATTCTTTAAAGAGGGCGTATTACTAAGCCTTTGTTCTAGCCCTTCTTGCAGTAAATATTTTCTGCCCAATTAGGAGGAAGAACTAGTGATAAATGACCCAATATTTTCTCTTCTCTCCCTTCCATACCCCAGATCTGTTGTGTAAATGCAAATAACATTATTACTGTTAATGTAATTATGTATTAAGCCACATCTCTAAGTAACCAAAAGCCATCAGTAATTTCAGGCTTTCTGCAAAGTCTCTCGATCCTGATTTAAAGTATTTATTTACAACTTATTTTGGTACTTCTTCCAAAAAAAAAAAAAGATGAGAAGGTGAGGTTTAAAATGAAAAACATTTAAAGGCTATGAAAATAAAACTTAAAAAATTAAAATTGTGTAGGAAGAAGTAGCAATCCATATAGATGACTATTGTGAAGTGATTTACTGCTCAGTTTACCCACAAGCGGAATTCATGGTAATCAGACTCAGAAGGAAAACAACAAATAATTATCTTTTTCTGATTTTTCCAGAGCATAGCACTAGTCTTTATACTTCTTACTCTAGTGCAGGCTATTCTGTGAACTATGTTTCATAACATCCTTTTTCTTCACAAAACAATTACTTTCTAAAAATAAAGTGGTCAATGTAAATTTCAACTTATTTCTACTAAGTGGCTTGTTTATTTAGGGGGTGTCATTTCTGCTGAAAGAACCAACTTCCTGCTAAAATTGTTAATTCACTCACTGTAGGCATTAAAATCAAGGTTGATGGGCCAGGCGTGGTGGCTCATGCCTGTAATCCCAGCACTTTGGGAGGCCAAGGTGGGCAGATCACCTGAGGTCGGGAGTTCAAGACCAGCCTGACCAACATGGAGAAACCCTGTCTCTACTAAAAATACAAAATTAGCCAGATGTGGTGGCGCATGCCTGTAATCCCAGTTACTTGGCAGGTTGAGGCAGGAGAATCGCTTGAACCCAGGAGGCAGAGGTAGCAATGAGCCGAGATCATACCATTGCACTCGCCTGAGCAACAGGAGCAAAACTCCATCTCAAAAAAGAAAAAAAAAGAAAAAGAAAATCAAGGTTAATGTTACATTTTCTTTTATTTTTTTTTTTTTTTTTTTTTTTTTTTTTTTTTTGAGACGGAGTCTCGCTCAGACTGTTGCCCAGGCTGGAGTATAGTGGCATGATCTCGGCTCACTACAACCCCTGCCTCCAGGGTTCAAGTGATTCTCCTGCCTCAGCCTCCCCAGTAGCTGGGATTACAGGCATCCGCCACCATACCTGGCTAATTTTTTTTGTATTTTTAGTAGAGATGGAGTTTCATCATGTGGCCAGGTTGGTTTCGAGCCCCTGACCTCAAGTGATCCGCATGTCTCAACCTCCCAAAGTGCTAGAATTATAGGCGTGAGCCCCTGCGCCCAGCTGATTTTACATTTTCGATTGTCTGTTGTACTAGATTGTCTGCTGCCTACCTTGTATCCTCTAACACAGTGTTCAGTCCCTTACCTCCAACTCTAAAATCTAAAAATCTCTGAAAACATAAGTTTATGAAAAGTTAAGTTCCAAACTCATTCAGAAGTAAAAACTTGAACTGAAATAAAGACAATTTAAAAATCTTCGTTTGTCCTACTTGTGAATATTTGCATGTTTTGCTACAGAAGTGGTAATAGGTTCAATTATGGGTGCCCTGCAGATTCTGCTGGGAGTTATGTAACATTTAGTATATGCATCTTATTACTTTTCCAGAATTTGAAAATATAAATTCCAAACCACGTCTTCCTCCAAATATTTCAGAAAAGGGATCGTGGGCTTGCAGTAGCCAATCCTGGAATAATAATGATTGGAATAATGTAGGTGCCTAGTAAATGTGAATTGAAGTTTGATTAATATGAGATACTTAGAAATTAGAAACATTTCTGCACCTGGGTCTTGTGACCTTGAGACCTCAGAAAATAAAATAGATTTTAGAAGCAGGACACCACAATTGTTCTCTTAAGGTAGTGGTAATTGGTCTTAGGTCAGGTTAATAAATCCAGAAAGAATGAAGTGTTATTCTAGCAGTCAAAATTGTTCTTGTTAGTATCCTAGAAGGTGCTTTTTGTGCCATTCACATATTTTTCATGTTGTCTCTGTATCTTTACTTATCACTTTGTATCTTTTTGGGTTTTGTTCAACATTTTTTAAAGGTGTCACATCAGCTTTTTTAATACTGGTGATTTAATTGCAAAAGCACACATAAACAGTTTGAAAGGTGTGAGAAGAAATTCGCAAGTCACATGGGGAAACAGCAACAAAGCTAGCATTCAGTCTGGAATGCATCCACTGTGCCAAACAAACTCAACTGCTAGTGGGTCAAATGGTGTATCCTGAGATTGAGTGAAAAATAAGTTTGATACAAGAAATGCTTGTTTCATACAAAGGATGCAGTGGGAAGTATCAAGATGAATTGAATATAGGCTGTACCCTCACAAAGCTCAAGCTTAATAGGGAAAGCAGAACATGAATATAAAATAATAAACTACATAGCAGAACACACCAGACATCATGTGAAGATGAGTGGGGATAGGTTAAATGGAGAAGATGGACTTGCAGAATACATGGATGAGAAGGACGGAATCTTCGCTGTCAAGCAGTGTTGAGTAGTAGAGATACACATAAACACAAAAATTATTATGGAAAATTGTAAATAACATAATAGGAGCTAAGGAAGCATAGATGAGTATAGTAATCCTTGGGGAAGGTAGGCAGGAATTGATCTTCAAGCTGGTCTTGAGGGACACAAGAGTTTGTCCAGGAGGTTTGGAGGTAGGTCAAGGAATCTCTTCTGGGCAGAGTAAATAAGATGCATGTTGTTTGAAGTATCACTAACAGGACAGTTACATACAATAACTCTTTATATTTTATTGTCATTTCAGGTGAATCAAACATCCCTTCTGGAACAATACAGAGTAGGAAAGGTTTGCAGAATAAGAGTCAGTTTAGGACCATCGCACCAAAAATTGTGCCCAAAGTCCTAACATCCAGAATGCTGCCATGTCATTCACCATCACGCTCTGATCAGGTGAATCTGGGACCCTCCATCAACTCTAAGCCACTGGGGATGTCCACCCAGAACTATGCTCTGATGCAGGTTGCTGGCCAGGAGGGGACATTTTCTCTTGTTGCTTTGCCACATGTTGCCTCAGCTCAGCCAATTCAAAAACCCAGAATGTCCCTACCTGAAAACCTGAAACTTCCTATTCCTCGATATCAACCCCCAAGAAATAGCAAAGGATCAAGAAAGAAACCCATCCTGATCTTTCCTAAGAGTGGCTGTAGCAAAGCTCCTGCCCAAACCCAAATGTGTCCTCAGGTATCCCCTTCCCCACCTCACCACCCTGAACTCCTGTACAAACCCAGTCCATTTGAGGAAGTGCCATCACTAGAGCAAGCCCCAGCCAGCATTGGCACAGCTGCGCTGACCAATGGAAGTGACCATGGGGACTTGAGCCCACCAGTGACCAACACCCATGGCAATCTGAACCCTCCTGCCACCACAGCATCATCCACGCCAGAGGGGGCTGCCAAGCAGGACCTCACAGGTCTTTCAAGGAAACCACACTTTGTAAGCAAGGTAACATCTAGTAAGCCTTCTGCTGTTGCCAGTGAAAAGTTTAAAGAACAAGTTGATCTTGCAAAAACCATGACCAGTTTATCACCAACCATTCTTGGCAATGCAGTTCCATTGATCTCTTCAGTCCCCAAAGGGAAACTACCAATCCCACCCTACTCAAGAATGAAGACAATGGAGGTTTACAAAATCAAATCAGATGCTAGCATTGCAGGTTTTTCTTTTCCAGGACCTAAGGCTGACTGTGATAAGATATCCTCCACCACAGAAGGCTTTAATGCAGCTACCAAGGTGGCAAGCAAGCTGCCTGTTCCACAAGTGTCACAGCAGAGTCCCTGTGAAAGTGCCTTTTGTCCACCCACCAAACTTGATCTCAACCACAAAACAAAACTGAACAGTGGAACCGCAAAGAGAAAAGGAAGGAAACGGAAGGTACCAGATGAAATTTTGGCATTTCAGGGAAAAAGGAGGAAATGTGTCATTAATAAGTGTAGAGATGGTAAAGAAAGAGTAAAAAATGATCCCCAAGAATTCAGAGACCAAAAGCCGGGGACCCTGAAAAAATATCGTAGCATTATGCCCAAACCTATCATGGTCATACCCGCTTTGACCCCCCTGGCTTCTCCAGCTACACTACAATCCCAGATGCTTGGGGGCCTAGGACAGGATGTTTCGTTAAATAATTCACTCACTCCTAAATATCTTGGCTGTAATCAAGACAACAGCTCTTCCCCTAAGCCCAGCTCCATGTTCAGAAGTGGATTCTCTGGCATTAAGAAGCCTTGGCACAGATGTCATGTCTGCAACCACCACTTCCAGTTCAAACAGCACCTTCGAGACCACATGAATACACACACCAACAGACGGCCTTACAGTTGTCGGATTTGTCGCAAGTCCTACGTACGTCCTGGCAGCCTGAGCACACACATGAAACTTCATCACGGTGAGAACCGTCTGAAGAAACTCATGTGTTGTGAGTTTTGTGCGAAAGTGTTTGGCCACGTCCGAGTCTATTTTGGCCATCTGAAAGAAGTGCATAGGGTTGTGATCAGCACTGAGCCCACCGCCAGTGAACTGCAACCAGGAGACATACCAAAGAACAGAGACATGAGTGTGCGAGGCATGGAGGGATCACTGGAGAGGTGAGTGCCGATGGAAAGGAAACCTGGCAAGAGAGTCTGTTTTGATTTGGGGAAGACGGGAAGATTTCATGTTCAGAAAGGAGAGTTTATAAAACATCTCTTGGATTAAGATTTCATAAGGTAGTTATCTATACCTCCTAGTTCTGTGAAGAATAATCTCGTTTCTCTCTGGTTTCTGATCATCCATATTTGGAATTACCTTAACCACTCTAGTAAATTATTGTATATAGTTCCAGTGGTCTTTACAAGTAATTTCCCCCAAAATCACATCCACAGAATTTGCACTATTTTAAACAGCATCATTTGCCCCAAAATGTGGCATGACCCATGGTGGGGACTCAGAGTGGGTGTGTCTGTCATGTTGGCCCTACCTTAAGGTGCCCAGACCCCACCCTCTTCATTTGCCATGTTTTTCCCATCAGGTCAGGTTCTCTCTTTCTGGAGTCATTCCTTTTTGCAAGCCCTGCTTCCTAGTATTACTGTTACAGGATCCTTGGGGTGTCATTTCACCAGCCGGAAGCCTCTGTGGCCAGTGGCACCTTGGCCTGAGTTTTGCTCTGGCCCATTAGGCTCGTTCCATGCACTCAGCCTGGCAGGCTGCACTCAACTCACGCTACTGGCCTAGATCCCATGCCTTCCAAGGGCAAGCCAGGCACGGAGTGGTGAGGGATGTGTGAGCGAGCATGGGGTCTGGCCACTGCGCATAGGCAGGCACGCCAGCTGCTGCTGCTGCAGGCCAGGCAGCTCCAGATGCCACCTCCCTGCAAGGCTGTGTCTGGACCAGGCACATCACAAGCAGCTGCCACAGCTGGCACTGGGAACATGATGTTGCTCGGAAGCTTGGAGACTCCAGGAACTGCATGGCCCCAAGGAGGGAGTCACTGCCCTGGGTCAGGGGGCTCCCAGGTCAGAGCTCCCCAAAGGACTGCAGCTCTTCACCTGCAATGTGGCAAGCAAAGGGTGTGTTTCGGCCTGTTTGTGTTACAGCTCTCTTAGCCCCACCATTTGGCAGGTCCCGAGTTCTTGTCCTGCGTTCAGGAAGAATGAGGTACACAGAGAAGTAGAGGGTGAGCAAGATAAAGAGGAACTTTATCAAGTGATAGAACAGCTCAGAGTTGAACTGCAGGGGGCAGTTCCTTGCAGCCAGGTTGTCCCAACTAACATTCAGCTCTTAGCAGAGAGGGTAGCTCTTCTCTGCAGGCCAGTCATCCCCATCATCTCTTCTGCTCAGCAGAGAGGGTAGCCCCTCTCTGCCACTGGTCATCCCATTGTCTCTTCAAGTCTGGCTAAGTCCGGGGCTTTTATGTGCCTCAGAGGAGAGGAAGTGGCGTGCGGTTGGTCCATGGGTGGTCGTGGACAGACCCAGAAAAGCACCACAAGTTCCCACTCCAGTCCACGTGGCCAGCAGCCTGGCCCCCAGGATTCAGGGCTTCCCCGGCTTGATGGCGGGGCTTCATCAGGGACCTCCCCCTTTCTGCCCAGAAGCTTCTTTGCCTCCTACTTCTGTTGATGGCACCCAGGCTGTTCATGCTGAGGGGGCACCTGCAGGCCGGCACCGAGCTGTCCTCAGCACCCCTTCGTCAGCCTCCCTCCCATGCTTATTGGCACCCAAAGTCTGGAGCGGGCCAAGGTGGTAGGGGGTGGGCATATCAGCACTGCCTCTAGCGTGTGCACACCCAGCCAGGTTACAACAGTGCCCAGGCTCAGCCCCAGCCTTGCTTTGAGATTGGAGCAGGTGCTGACAGTAGGGAGAAGCCAGTCAGCAGGAGCAGGTGCTTCTTGAGTCTGTGGGGGGAAAGGGGCCTTCCCGGACCCCTGAGAGTGCAGAGATGCCTGGATCTGCAGCCACAGCAGGGTAACTACAGTGATGCCTGGGAGGGCAGGAGGGCTCCTGCCTGCTCCCAGCTTCCAAGAGCACAGGGGTGCCTGGGTCGCAGCTGCGGCTTGGGCAGCTGCAGGCTGTTGCGCTTGGGAAACTCCCTCCCCGCCAACTTAGAAAGGGCAGGGCTCCTGCTTGTCCCCAGCTCCCTGGCTCCATGAAGCGTGGCACCGCCCCTGGCCCATCTCCGCCTCAGGGCCCCTCTCTACCCGCTCCTGCATGCCCTAGTGTGCTGTTTCCCCTGCCAGCAGGTGACTCAGCCTGGCCCCATCGCAGTGGCTCTCAGAGCGGCAGGTTTCAGGGACTGCCCACCTCCTCTCCACGTTTCTCCAGCAGCAACAGCAGGCAAGGTGCAGGTGGCGCAGTGGCCCTGGCCAACCCTGCACAAATGAACCCGACACTCAGGGCCAGCCCCACAAGTGCCCGCTGCACCTTCAGCCGGGTGCCCACTGGCTCCTTTCTGAATGTGAAATCTTCCCTTTCCCCAAATCAAAACAGACGCTCTTGCCAAATGTAGTTTGGACATTGTACCTAAAAATCAAAATCTAACTATAGGAAAAGAAGGAAGAAGTGAGGTTTCATGGTTCATTAGTGAAGGGCACAGAGGTCTTAAAGGGGACAGAAACGTCTGAGAAAAAGGAGAAACTATAGAAAAGCAAGGAAGAAATAGGATAGGCACCCTTTATTTTTACTGAACATAACAGAGTGAGCCAAAATTGAATAGAAGGTATTGGTGCTCAAGGTTAGGGAGAGCCACAGTGGGTACGGTGGGACTGTTACCTTCAACAAAACTGAGGGTGTTCCTGTGCCCTTCATGCACTCTTACATGACTCTACCACGTGATTGCTCCTGTCCTTGTGGTAACCAAAGATGAGTTAGCTCACCTGGGACAGATGCATGAAGAGAAGGACTGTTGATTAAAAGAACCCTGGTAGCTGGAGAAATGTGTGGCCGCAAGCAGGAATGACAGTTGGGATTCACCGCGGTCCTTGCGGAAGGTCTTCCCAGGCGCTCTCTGTTTACCCCAGCCCTTGTCTTTCTCGTCAGTGTATGTTTTAGATCCCTGAAGGCTGAGAGCTAAGAGGAATGGTTCCAACTGCATTTTTCTATGAAACTTATATACACTATTTTTGCTCTTTTCAGGGAAAACAAGTCCAACCTGGAAGAAGACTTCCTTCTAAACCAGGCAGATGAAGTCAAATTACAAATCAAATGTGGCCGTTGTCAGATTACTGCTCAGTCTTTTGCGGAAATAAAGTTTCATTTACTTTATGTTCATGGAGAGGAAATTCAGGGCAGGCTACAAGAAGGGACCTTCCCAGGAAGCAAGGGGACTCAGGAAGAGTTGGTGCAGCACACTAGCACTGACTGGAAAAGGCATCCTGAGAGAGGGAAGCTGGAAAAGCTTCATTCCTCCGAGGAGGATTCACATGCATGTCCGAGACTGAAAAGGCAACTCCACCTTCATCATCAGAATGGCATGGAAATTCTCATGGAAAATGAAGGACCCCAGTCAGGAACCAACAAACCAAGGGAAACCTGCCAGGGCCCTGAGTGTCCCGGCCTCCACACAGTTCTCTTGTGGTCCCGTTCAGGCTTTAACTGCCTGCTTTGTGCAGAGATGCTGGGACGGAAAGAGGACCTCCTCCACCACTGGAAGCACCAGCATAATTGTGAGGACCCTTCCAAACTGTGGGCTGTTTTAAATACGGTCTCCAACCAGGGAGTGATTGAACTTTCCAGTGAAGCTGAGAAATGAGACCCCAAGGCAGGCCGGGGTTAAGGAGAGAGCTCTGCCGCCACCTTCCTTCAGAGCTTCGTGCTTTATGGTGGTGCTTAGTCACAAAGATCAAACAACAGGATTGGCGTGAGTGAACAGAAATGATTTTTGTACATGGTTTTATTTTCTTATGAAATAAAATACATGTTCTCGAAACATATTTTTCTAACTATATGCAGTCTTATTTTAAAATCATATGTACTGATTCTTAATGTCTTGGACTTTCAGAATAAATAAAAAGATCAAAATTTGGAGATTGAAATTTAGAGGGATATAGGCTGTTCTTCAAATATAGCTCTCAGTGAAAACGTGTGTGTGTCCTTCCTTTTGTTCAGATGTTTTCTGCTTATGTAGATTGACAAATGTCAAAAATGTCCAGGCAGCAAAACCCTTTTAGTCTCAACCATAGTATCAAGTTAGATGGTAAATGCTGATATTTATTAAAATCTCTGGTTTATTTGAATATGATATAGAGCAGTATTTTAATAAGATTGTCATCTACAATAATTTAAAATCCATGTTTTCAGGACTCAGATTTTTGTTTCTCCTAATTTTGCTATTTTCTTAAATGCACATTTCCTTGAAGATTAGTTGTTGGCAAGTCTGATGGCTGTAGTGTTCCATATCAAAATAATTTTTTTAAAAATTTAGTACTTCAGCTAATAAAAAATCCACTTGCTTGGTAAAAAGTTATTTTCAAGTAGTCTTTGGGGCCAGAAAATTTACAACCTGGAAAGTGAACTGGATAGTTCAGTCCAGATGTGTAGGGGTCTCAACTGCGTTCCCTCACTCCCAAGTGACTTCAGAGGGTTGTCGCCAGCTGATCAATTTTAGATGGAACTGTGCTTTTCAAGCCCAGGTTCTCTCTGAAAGCCAGGAGTAAATGATTGCCTCTTAAATTCCTGGGAAACTACCTCAAATCAGTAAAGTTGTCATTTGAAGTTTCTGGCCATCCTGGCTGCAAAATCATTTTCTTAGAAAAGTGGAGTTTCAGCACTCATCCTACTGATAATCTCAGCCTTGGATGAAAGCACCACGCATGTGGCCAGCTCAGCCCAGGCATGGTCATAATATTTTGTGCTCAAGGAAGTTGCCTAAGCAGAGAAAGAATGGAATTCTAATTGATAAGCTAGTAGATCTTACATCATCTGTTTTTAATGTCTGGTTTTAAAAGCCAGTGTTCGTAGACATGATTTGCCTCAAATAGTAAAAGAGAAAACTAGTATTTGTCTTTTTGCAAATAGTTTTGTAAATTTGAGAATAAGAGAGTAGGGATAGAAATATCTGAAAGATTGTGTTGTGGTTTGTCAGTTGATCACGCTTTACCCAGTTTCAAATAGGGAATATCAGACCTCTACTGTTTTGATAGTTTTAGAACTTTTTGGTGAATAATGAAAAGGCTTTACCATTCAAACCAGTTCCCAGTTTGTTTTTTTGAAAGACTGGTCTCAAAGACATTACCAAATGACTTCTACAAAGAATACTACTTGAATTCAAACCATGAAACTTGAATTCAAACTATGAAATAATTCATAGATTGCTCAATCCTCAGATACGAAGTCGTATTTTAGAAATACTAGCCAGTTGGCCAAGGTAGAGTAGTGGGTGTGGAGTGTGTATGGAAACAAAGGTGTGGGGACAGAATACACCCACCCAGCACTCGTGGAAAGTCTGAAGTCCCTAGGTTGTGGAGGAGCCCACCTGTGGCCTGTGTCTCCCCACATATTCTTACAGCAAGGCCATAGGCAGTCTCCGGAAAGAAGTACAGTGAGGAATTGGGGAAAGAGCAAAGGTACATAGATGATATGATTGGCTCATGATTCAGCACTCTGGCTGGATCCCCATTTCAGAGCAGCTGCATTTCCGAGCATTTCAGAGCAGCGGCCCCAATGTACTAACTAAATTTAGATGACTCAACAAACACTGATCCATGGGGAGAGGGAGGGTGCAGGTGGGGAGCCATGGAAAAGTTACGCTCATCTTTAAGAAAATTCTTTTTTTTTTTTTTTTGAGACGGAGTCTCACTCTGTCGCCCAGGCTGGAGTGCAGTGGCGTGATCTCGGCTCACTGCAAGCACTTGCTCCCGGGTTCAATCAATTCTCCTGCCTCAGCCTCTTGAGTAGCTGGGACTACAGGCACCTGCCACCACGCCTGGCTAATTTTATTTATTTATTTATTTATTTAGTATTTTTAGTAGAGACGGGGTTTCACCGTGTTAGCCAGGATGGTCTCGATCTCCTGACCTCGTGATCCACCCACCTTGGCCTCCCAAAGTGCTGGGATTACAGGTGTGAGCCACTGCGCCCGGCCAAAAATTGTTTTTTTAAGATAAGGAAGGTTAATGGGGCATAGGACCCACCCTGGACGTCAGTGTGTATGGATTCATTTGCGGTAGCATGTTACAGTTCTCAGCTTTTGAAAACTCCCCTGCGTTACAATGTAAACATCCCCAGTGCCACCCAAAATAAGGAGTTTCTGGCCCTTACTAGTAGTGCTTTACCGAGAATGGTGGGAAGACGGCCTCCTATTGGGGAGGTGGAAAGACAAGAGAGAGTACTTAGCTAAAGTTACTTTGGGAACAGCTCAGAGCCTTTCTTGGGTGTAGAAATGTTATTGGAACAGTCCCAACCTGTATGCTTAGGCCAGAGGTGGTGCGGTGTGGAACAAAGTGCTCCAGTACTTACTGTGTGTGGCCTTGAGAGAGTGCCCTCTGTTACACTCCATTCTCTCCTCTGTGAAATGGGGGTGACAGTCCTACCTCAAGGCACTGTTGCAAAGAGTAAAAGAGACACACATGAAATTCCTGGCACCTGTGGGCCATGTGGTAACTGGTAGCTGGTATTTAATAGGCTTTTGGCCAGACTTGGGAGAAGAGGTATTTTGTACCATATAAAGGATTGTAAAAAGCTTGGGTAGACAGGTCTTAAGTGCAGAATTCAAGGATGGAAACTACTAGGAACCACAGAAGTTGGCATTTTTGCATGAAATGCATTTTATTTTTATTTTATATATTTTTTTCGAGATAGAGTCTTGCTCTGTCACCCAGGCTGGAGTGCAGTGGCACAATCTTGGCTCACTGCAACCTCCGCTTCCCGGGTTCAAGCAGTTCTCCTGCCTCACCCTCCCGAGTTGCTGGGATTACAGGCATGTACCACCACCACACCTGGCTAATTTTTCTTTTTTTTTTTTTTTTAGTAGAGATGGGGTTTCACCATGTTGGACAGGCTGGTCTCGAACTCCTGACCTCGTGATCTGTCCATCTCGGCCTTCCAAAGTGCTGGGATTACAGACATGAGCCACTGTACCTGGCCATGAAATGCATTTTAATTTTTAAATAAAAACGGGTTTGGATTGCATGGAGGTTTGGTAAGTGTCTATTCAATCAGAATAGAAAGCAACATTCACTAAATTATTTCCATGCCAGGCTTCACTTTGGGGCTTGTATTCCTTAGGTCTCAGCCCAGGCAGCACCTCATTCCTGCGGTTGTCCCTCTGCCCTTCCCTTGCCCCTGTTCTAGCTGTCATAGCACCCACCTTGCTGTCCAGAAGCTGAGGGTGGACTTGTCCACCTCTCACACTAGATAATAAGCCTCTTGAGGGCAGGAACTGTGCCTGTGAACAGAGGTTCAGCGCAGAGCCACAGAGGGTCCAGTGGCTGAAATGGAATAGTGCACAGCAGATGTTTGTTGGGGGAAATAAAAAAAAGATACATCAGCTAAGTAAAAACAAAGTTAACACTTTTTATGGATAAACCAGCCTTAGAAGCAACCAAACTTGTAGCTAGAAAGGCATGGAGGCAAACTTGGTCTTAAATTCAGCACATTCATTTTGCTTCATGTCTTTTGCTTCTTGGAAAATTGTCCCAACGCCAGCAAAACTAGTTTTTTTTTTCCTCTTCTTTTGGCCCTAAATTATTTCTGAAAGTTACAGCATTTTAGATTTGTATTGTTTTATTACCTGTCATTTTTATTCACGTCCGCTTTTGTTGCTCTCTCTCTCTCTCACTGGACCTCTTCCTAGTTTAGCTTGACTGTTCCTCTGTTAAGCTGTTCCTCATATGGAAAGTTGCCTCTTCATCAGCACACCATAAATTATCCAACCTGGGTGCGTTCCACTGCCTTCTCTGGCTACAGACTCCTCCCCTCCCCAGCTGCGCGGCTCCAGTTGTCTGTGGCCCCAGTGACATGGTTGTTGGCAGTAAATGTTCAACTTCATTTATTTCCTAGAATTCTCAGATCTGGACTGGTTTGCTCCATTCAAGCCGCTGACAAGCTTTGTTAGGTACATATTTTACAACATCTCCCCTTTTCACTGGGCTCCTGAGAAAAAGTGTCCTGGTGAGTATGACCTGGAATTTAGCAGAACAGGTTTTTAGCTTCAACTTTTTTCTGACTTCTATGACGTTGGACAATCAGAAGCTTATCTAGGCTTGTGGTTTAACCTAATGTATATTTGAACAATATCCACCTCTTCAGGAATATTACTTCTAGAGGTGAACTGTTTATTGTGTCTTATATTTGGTCACGGTCACGGTCATGGTTATTCCTATAATAAAACTATAGCCACAATTTTGGGAGCACATTTTAAATTTGTGTTTAGTATGCAGACCTTGGCTTAGGAGTACATCACATTTTCCATGCTGTGAAGTGTGAAAATATTTCAATGCATTGCTTAACTCTAGGAAAAATGCTACCCATTGAAGGAAACCAAATGTGACAACTAAGAGATGTACAGATTATTCCTTCTAATTTTAATGTGAAACTAAATTTTCTTTTTCAATTAAATTTGCTCATATCTTCAGAATTGCCCCACCCCCTTAGCTTAAGAAGAAACAATAGGATGGCAATTCTTGCCATTTTAAGTATGTTCCAAAAAACAAAATCTCAACTTACTAGAATTACAATAGATCATATTTTTTAATAAATAGCCACTGAGCACTCCTCAATAAAAAGATTGTGCCTTCTTTCATTAAATATGAATTTAATCTCTGCCTAGGAGTTGCAAAGAGACCACCAGGTCTTTTCAGAGACAAAGCACCGAATTTAGTCTGATTGCTGCCTGAATTGTAATGCATATCTTACTACAGAAATTAACCCATGGAAGAGATCCAAGTAGCTCAAACACATGCACTGCATAACCACCCCTAGAGCTCTGGCTGTCTCGGAAAGA